ATTTTTCCTAATATCCAATCTAAACCTCCCCCAATGCAACTTGAGACTATTTCCTCTTGTCTTATGGCTTCTTACTTTGGGGAAGAGACCAACACCCATCTTACTGCAACCTCCTTTCAGGCAGTTGTAGAGGGTGATAAGGTCTCCCCTCAGCCTCCTCTTCTCCAGGTCAAACAACCCCAGTTCCCTCAACCGCTCCTCATAAGACTTGTGCTCCAGACCCCTCACCAGCTTCCTTGCCCTCTCTAGACATGCTCCAGAGCCTCAGTATCTTTCTTGTAGTGAGGGGCCCAAAACTGAACACGGTATTTGAGGTGCGGTCTCACCAGTGCTAAGTACAGGGTCATGATCACTTCTCTGCTCCTGCTAGCCACGCTATTTCTGATACAAGCCAGGATGCTGTTGCCCTTCTGGGCACAATGCTGGCTCATGTTTAGCCATCTGTCAACCAGCATTCCCAGGTCCTTTTCTTCTGGGCACCTTTCCAGACACTCTTCCCCAAGCCTGTAGTGTTGCGTGGGGTTGTTGTGACTGAAGTGCAGGACCCGGCACTTGGCCTTGTTAAACTTCATATAATTGGCCTCAGCCCATTGATCCAGCCTGTCCAGATCCCTCTGTAAAGCCCTTCTCCCCTTGAGCAGTCAACACTGCTATCCAACTAGGTGTCATCTGCAAACGTACTAAGAGTGCACTCGATCCCCTCGTCCAGATCACTGATAAAAAACAAGACATGCTATTATAGACCCTTGACTTCTGACCTTATCTCTGTTTCAATGACTTCTATGATATCAATGGAGCAGACTCATCTTTCCTGAGGCTTTAGCTTTTGGACAAGTGGACATAGGACTCAGGCTATGTGTCTAACCGGGCTATCATCTGGATGCCATGTTAAAAGGAGGAATTTTTAGAAGTTTTGCCACAGAGCAGACACATATCAAAGTCATATGATCTGGGGATTTTCAGTGATCCTTATGATGCAGTATTCTTCTGAGACAGTGAGTAATCTAAGATGAGCTCTGGTCTACCCAGAATGAATGACAAATCTGTTCATAACAATGTGATCAGAAGCATGTACTTGGATTCCTCTGAGGAGAGGCTGGTTCGATAATGTTACACCACTAAATAGCTAATGTGTCAGTGAAATGTTTTCTGCACTCAGGGCTTGTATTGTTATAAGTTTTCCTTGAGCTTGTCTAAAAACATGATTTGGAAAGGTCTGTGATCAACACTTCAAAACAAGGTTTACTGTTTTCATATAAAAGTTGCATTACCTGAATAGTCTGTTTTTAT